GGCGATGGGGACAGGGAAGAGTGGCTGGCTGGTTGGATACGTAGGATGCACGGGGAGGGACATGGGTGCCTACAGCCATGCACACGATGGGTGCAGGCAGGTAGAACTGTGGATGGAAGGGTCTGCTGGGTGGCTGAACCATGTGAAGTCCAGCAGAGCTTGGGGTAAACTTGTCTCCCAAATGTGGGCCTGTGGAGAACCACCTGTCACAGAATCACACAGAATCACAGAATGTCAGGGATTGGAAGGGACCTCAAAAGATCATCCAGTCCAATCCCCCTGCCAGAGCAGGAACCTAAATGAGATCACACAGGAAGGCGTCCAGGCAGGTTTTGAATGTCTCCAGAGAAGGAGACTCCACACCCTCCCTGGGCAGCCTGTTCCAGTGTGCTGTCACCCTCACTGTAAAGAAGTTTCTTCCTCTGAGTGCATCCAACCATGTCTTTATGGGCCGTAGCTCCTCACCAGGGCTGCTCCTGGCTCTGCAAACCAGCAGAGAGGAGAAGCCATGGTTCCACATGAGGGTCCTGTAGCAGTAAGGCGAGTCCAGCCTTGGCAGTCTCAGGTCTGACATCTACCTTCCACAAAGACGTACAATAGGGAAACACCATGGTCTTGGGTATGAGGGAGGCCCTCGAGTTCCCAGAGCAAGAGCAAAGGCAGCAGCTGCCTGGCAGAAAGTCAGGAGCATGTATATACAGGGAAACCATGATGGACAACTTGCAGGCAGAGGTGCCAAGGCTGCCCAGCCCCTCTGCACCATCACCCCAGGGTCCCACACTTCCTCCTGCCCTTGCAACCACCAACACTTAAAGCTTGTGATTGCCTGCAGAGTCCTTGAGAAAAAGGTCTCTCTCTTTGGAAGGGGCTGTTCATGGGCCAGCCCAGCTCAGTGGACTTGTACATCACCACTGAGCAGCACAGCTGAGCCCCCATCACCCTTCCTTCCCCATTGGGACCACCTCCCTGTGGCCACCGGTCCAGCCAGAGAGAAGAGGTGTTTTGGGGTGAACCCTGGAGCAAGGGAAAGCAAGAGGGTGCTGGCCACCTCCCTGTCCATCCCTCTGCCTTGCTCCCTCCCCGTGGCACTGCCATCCAGAGCTCCACCCTGGCCAGGCTGGGTCGATGCTGGGGGAGTCTCCCATCAGATGCGGTTGGACATGAGCCTGGTGTTCAGCTTGCGGAAGAAAGAGCGCAGTTTGCAGATCTTGCACTTCTTCTTCTTGTTCCTACTCTTCAGGGGCTCCCCAATGCCTTCCCACTCCTCCACGTCGTCCTCGCTGGCCCAAGGTCCCCAGGCACCGCCGTTGAAGTCCGGGTGAGCCCGGGGGTTCTCTGCAGGGTACCGCACTGGGATGGCCGTCCGGTTGTAGTGCACCAACCTCATCAGGAGGGTCCTGACCACATCTGGGCGCTGGTCTGAGAGGTCGTAGCGTTCGTAGGGATCAGCAGTGATGTTGAAGAGCCACACGGATTTCCTCAGGCCATCAGTGAGACGCTCCAGGTTCCACCAGCTCCCCGGGAAGTTGGTCAGGGTCTGTGGGGGGATCCAGTCGCTGTACCCTGGGTCACCAGTGAGGAGCTTCCACTCCCCGACCCGGATGGAGGCTTGTACAGCTGTGTTCCAGATGCCAAAGCCATCCTCCAAGGAGCCGTACTTGGCATGGTTGTACAGGGGGTCGATGTTGTGCAGGATTTCGGTTCGCGGTGACTCCTTGCCCTCGCTGATGGCAGGCCAGACGTTGTAGCCATCCAAGCCTGGGACGTTGCTCAGGTTGCCCCTGGCCAGGCTGACCAGAGTCGGGTACCAGTCTGTGATGTGAACCAGCGCCCAGCTGGTCCGGCGCTTGCGCTTGATCAGGGGACTGTGGACAAAACCGATGCCACGGACTCCCCCTTCCCAGTACGTCCCTTTGCGGCCCCGTAGCGGCCAGTTGCTTCCCCCAGAGAAGGTCTGGCCACCGTTGTCAGTGGAGAACACAATCACACTGTTGTCATAATAACCATACTTCTTGAGAGCCCAGGTGATGTTCTTCACTGCCTCATCCATACACGTCACCATGGCCGCGTACTTGCGGCGAGCAACGTTGCCCATGGAGCGGTAGCGGTAGATGTACTCCTTGGGTGACTGCAGAGGTGTGTGGACCGCTTGGAAGGCCACATAAATGAAGATGGGCTCCTTGGGGCTGTGGGATGCCAAGATCTTGCTGACACGCTGGGCATAGAGGAAGGTGGAGTACTTCCCACTCTGGTCCCAAGCCACATCCTCCCCTTCGTGCAGGTCGTAGCCGCAGACGCCCGGCCCATCGCAGTTGTCGTAGGTGTAGTAGTCCACGTTGCCCGTCAGGGAGCCCAGGAAGGTGTCGAAGCCCCGGCGGGTGGGCAGGCATTCCTTCTTGTAGAAGCCAAGGTGCCACTTGCCCACCATGTGTGTGGAGTAGCCAGCTTCCTGCAGCTTCTGGGGCAAGGTGACCTGGTCGAGGGGCAGGCAGTTGGGCTGCCGAGGGCGGATGATGGAGTGTTGCAGCCCTGTGTGGATCTGGTACCTGTTGGGAGAGAGCCAGGAGGAATCAATGGCAATGAGGAGCAGTGCTGGGTGGGGACATGACAGCTGGAGACCGCAAAAGCATGCAGATCTCCATGTCACCCAGCCCAACCCCATGGAGCAAGCTCCATGTCAGAGACAGGCAGCTCCTCAACCATCCAAACATACAAAAAGCAGATGCAATAAAAAAGAGAAGGGGCTCAGCAGAGATCTCAAAAGCACAATGGGATGATCTCCTAGGATGCCACCAGCAATCGTCCCTGCTGCTGCCAGCCCAGGGGAGGTGTGGGGCTCTGCCAGGGCTGGGCAGCACAAGCAAGAGTTGCATAGCAATCCCTGTGTTTGCAGTGTCCCACCTGGCTGTCCTCACATCCCTGTCCTCTCCCATTTTACACACCCCAGAGATGCCTGGGACCCCTCTAGAGCCATCAGGAGAGAAGAAAGGCCTTTGCCTGGACCCCAGTTGGCTCCACCACCCCCAGGCAGGAGGTGACCACATCCTCATCAGGAGATGATCTGATGAGATCTGCATCCTATGGCAAGTGCTGACCACCCAGCGCTGCTCCAGGGAAAGCTCCATCTGCCCCAGGAGGTAGAAGGGTCCAGGATGAGAGGAGAACTGACTGTGCCACTGCGGGAGAGGGTTATGGACCAGCATCCAGCCTGCCCTGTCCAGAGCAGCATTGAAGGCGCAAGTAGGAAAAGCATGGTCTGAGGAACTCATAGATGTAGATGACAATGATCCTTCGAGCCCACAGCCACCAGCAAATCCCCAAGGGCCAGTGCGACAGCAGCACAGGACCGCCTGGGAACACAGCTCCTTGCCTGGCACCGAAGGACCTCATGGCAGAGACCACCCTCTCCCAAAGTGACACCCAGTGCCCAACAGCATCTGCATTTTTGGCCCTGCCATGTGCCGCTATTTATCCCACGTGAAAATCAACCATTTACCCAGGAAGCCTTCTAGAGAAAGGCAGCAAGATGACTTTCTCTGGAGGATCTCCATCATCTGCCAACACATTGGGGCACCTGTCTAGCAGCAAGCTGGGGTTAAGCCCCGCAGAGCTAAGGAAGGGACAGAAGAGGAGACACGAGTTGGGTGTGAGCAGGCACTGGCTTACCTGCCAGTTATCAGCTGGCTCCGGGACGGGGTGCAGATGGGCTGGATGTAGTAGTTCTCCAGCTTAACGCCCTCAGCTGCCAGCCTGTCCAGCGTTGGTGTCTGGATATCTGAGCCGTGATACCCAACGTCATGGTAGCCCTGGTCATCCGTCAGAATGAAGATGATGTGGGGTGGCCTGGCGAAGGCAGGAGGCAATGATTTCTCCATGGGATCCATGGCCACGTTGGCCACCAAACTGGGCTTCATCCAGTCCCAGGATAAATAGCCAAAGCTGAGCAGGCTGACGAGCGAGAAGCCCGTGAGGGCATAGACGGCCATCCCGGAGCACACTGCGCTGCCTGCGAAGGGAGCTACTGTCCCGGCATCATCTCAGAGCCACGAAACTGGAGTCTCCTCCTCCTCTGGGAGAGCCCCCCCGAACTAGAGGATGGTCCCCAAAACCCCTGCAGCCAGTTTTGTGGGAGCAGCTCCCATGAAGGCACACTCGAGCGCACACAAAGAGCTTTAATCCGCCGGGGCTGGGTTGCTTTCAGTCAAAAGAAAATAACCCTCGCGCCGCTCCAATCACACACATCTGCGCGGCATGGAGTCTCCTCCTCCTCTGGGAGAGCCCCCCCGAACTAGAGGATGGTCCCCAAAACCCCTGCAGCCAGTTTTGTGGGAGCAGCTCCCATGAAGGCACACTCGAGCGCACACAAAGAGCTTTAATCCGCCGGGGCTGGGTTGCTTTCAGTCAAAAGAAAATAACCCTCGCGCCGCTCCAATCACACACATCTGCGCGGCAGGACGGGTTCCTCGCAGCGATCAACGGCAGGCCCTGCCGCTCACCAAGCGTCCCGAGAGCTAGAAACACTTCCTGCCTACTTGGAAGCTTCTCTCCGGTGTTATTTCTTTATGAAGAACTCCATAAAAAAAACCTTACTGGAGAAAGTAGCTGACTTCTCCTTCTCCTCCTCTCCAGCCCTGGGCTGTCCGGACGGCTCGTTCTGGGGACGATGATCCTTTTCTCTAAACTCCTGCAGAAGAGGGTGCTAAAGTTTAAGCCCAAAAGTGCCGAGCTGTCCTCCTCACCCTTCAGGGAAGAGCCGCCCTCTCCTTTTTCCCACCCTCCGCTCCAAGGCAGAGAGTCCCAACATCTGCCCAGGACGTGGGCTAAGCCACCAGGTTTATGGGGAGCTGCAGGCTCGGCCCCTCCCAGCTCAGCAGCTCCAGGAAAAAGCTGGGAAGCCCTCGAGTGTGCAGGGTCCTAAGCGTGGTGTTCCCCGAGCCAAGGACACTTCCCTCCCTGCTTGCCCCAAGATGTGTGACACATGGGCCAGGGTCCTGGTGGGATGCTCAGCTCAAACCCCCACAGCATCCAGCTGGGGAGGGCAATGGGGAGGGCTGGGTCCCCAGGAGGGATTGTTGGGGCCAGATGCCCACACTGCCAGAATCACCATCCAAATAAATCCTGGGCAAGGAGAAGCTGCAAAAACTTGTTGAGACACTCTCAGTGTTGAATCAAACCAGTCAGGGGCATGCAGAGCACTACAGAGTGGGGAGGGTGCTGCTGCACCCATTTTCCAGGTGGGGAAACTGAGGCAGAGAGGGGCCACTCATGCTGGCCCCTGCTACAGCCAGACAGGGACAAGGCTTGGTGTGAACTAGAGACCTCTGCCAACGCAGGGGTACTGGTCTGAGCTTGGGGTACTGGGACAAGGGCTCAGGTCGGTGCCCTGGTGCTTCAGGGGAGATTTTGGGAGAGATGAGTGATGCTCCTGTGTGACTCCTGTCGCAGAGCCAGTGTTCATCAGGCATCAGGAAGCCATCACGCCTGGCATGCATCTCGCCCCTTTGGCTTTCCCTAGGGCAGGACTTGCTGCAGGAGGAGGGATTTTGGCAGCACAAACCCACCCGTGTTCACCCACCCCTGGCAGAGCTGGGAG